GAGCCACAGTCTCTGTAGTGCTAGGGCTGAGCCAGCCCAACTCCACTGTACGAAGGTCCAGGCTGGGTGGAAAGGATGCCCACTCAGCCAAGGACCAGGGCAGAGCAGCTGACAAGGGGCTTCACTCACTTTGGGGGAACCACTGATTCACCTCAGACCCTGGGGGAAGGAGCCCCAGAGAGAGGGCCCAGGGGTGGCTGTGGTGTGGGGTTTCAGCAGGGAGTCCCCAGGCTGGCAAGTTCAAAGGAGGCTGACCTTGGCCAACTGAGGGCCGGCCAGGATCAAGTCCATCTTTGGTCAGGGCTTCCTATTCTGCCCTACAGCACGCAACACAGGTGGCTTCCACATCAGTGGAACTGAGGGTCACTGCAGAGACCACTCCTGCTGCAGATGCCACCGGGATGCAAGGTGGAGGGGAGCACTGTCTGGGGACCCCTGGAACACACTGCTAGCACCGATGTCTGTAACCGGGGCAACTGGAAGGAGCAGGTGGAGAGGCCTAGACTTGGCTTAGAGCAAAGGTATAGGGGATTAGGCAGGGCAAGGTTCAAGGTTCAGCTGTGTCCTTCGTGCCCGTGCCACCTGGAGCATATCACCAAGGCTTGCTGCACCTCGTTTAATATCCCCCGCACAGGGGCAGTCCCAGAGCTGCTCCCCACGACACGTGGGTTATATGAGACAGTTACATGACATACCCAGCCCCCAGGCAGCAGAAGACAGCCATGTAGGGGCCAGAGGGAGAATAAACACTTTCTCAGCTGTCCTTGACCTTGCAGCACCAAGCACACAGCCTTGACCTGGCTCTGGTTTGGCAGCTGGGGAGTGTTTTTTGCTGCCATGTGGAGCACAGCACCTAGCTGCTGGCACAACAAGTGTGGAGTCTCCCTGATGTTTCTGAGAGGCCGGGACAGTCTGGGAGGAAGGAGCCGAGGTCTGGGAGTCGGAGAGCCCTGACATCCATCGCTGGCTGGAGAGCTTGCGTGAGTCATGGAGAATGAGTGCACGGCTTAGTTGGAGTCTTTGGGGGCTTGGCCAGGATGACAAGTGGAGATGTAGGAGACGCATGAGCTCAGGGTGCCGCTGGCAGACAGCAGAATTAGGAGTTCTGTCTTGAGCCACATGAGCCATGGCTTCAGACATTGCCCAGGTGAGCAGCAAGGCCAGGCAGGAGCCAGTGCATAGGCCTGTAGGTGGGAAGGTGACGAACAGAACGCACGCGTGGATGGATGTCAAGCCCAGGCCCTGGCGGAGACCTCAGCACAGCGTCTGTAGGGGGGTCAGAGCCCGGCGCTTGCATGGCCTGGGTCCTCCCAGAAGGGAGTGGATGCTCTCCGTAGCAGCACAGGATACTGCTTGCAGCATCCACAGCACAGCTTGAGGTGGTTGCACCCTGCACATGCACGGTTCTTTGGTGCCCTCTAGTGGTGTCTTAGTGAGTGACACTATCAGGCTGTGACGTTCGTTTGGCATCTGCAGGTTCTGGAGACCCCGGCTGTGGGCGGGATCAGGAAGCATCAGACAAGAGGCACAACCTTTACAGGAATTCTACACAAGTCCCGTGGCCACCTATCCCCTGCCTAGCTTCATCAGACACCGAAACTTCATCACCCTAAAACTGCCGCATCCCCTGCCACTGCACTGTAGCATGTGGCCTGGAGACTATGGGCTGTACGAGCGAGGTGCTTAGGACCGGGAGATTTGGGAGGTTTCCTTCCAGGTCAGCACTATCATCATCATTGCAGCACCTGCACACAGGGCAGGGGTGGGAGCTGCTGACTCCCTGAACTCCCCACAGGCCTTTCATCAAGGTTACCAAGATTGAAGGTAATGAAAGACCAGCCGCCAGAGTTAGGGTTTCAGGATGGAAGAAGTCAGAGTCAGAGAGGTGGGAGGCAAGGAAGGGGTGGCTACTAACAGAGCAAAGGGTCAGGAAGCCGGAACAGTGGCAGTAGGAGGAAGCAGGTAGCACTGGAAGCAGTTCTGAGCAAACTCCCTGCAGAGGATTGGTCAGCCTTGGGGAGCAGGAAGTGCAGGCAGCAAGCAGCCGTGCAGAGCAGTGGTGCTGGGAACAGGCTGCAGGATGGAGTTGCCATGCAGAGAAAAGTGGGGGTCAGGTGCTGTCCCTTCTGAAGGAAGCACATGTAAGCTCAGAGACCGAGGGACTCTGGGGAGGTGATACTGCAGAGGAATCAGGTTCCGTGTACTGTGATATCAAACCCAAAACAGGAGGCAGGGACCTCCCTGTCACAGGGCATATAAAGGAGCCCTCCGTGGTGAAGTTCCCCCACTGAGCAGAGCCAGTCCTGTCCAGGCCGAGGATTGAAGATTCCAGCCTGAATGATTGCCTTTTCATTGCAGGGCAGCCAAGACATCATCACCAATGACCTTGCTGTGTGTGCATGCCCACCAGGGCCTTGGGCCCCTGTTATGCCTGCTCGGTTGTCAGCATTCTGTGTCACTAATAATCTTAGGACCAAGTCCACATGATGTCCTTGACTAAACAGCAAGAGGAAGACATCGGGAGACCCCCTGCCCTTCCCCCCCGCCTGCCCCTCCTAGACAACTAGCTCATCTAGGCAGCTTTGCCCTTCTATAAGGAAGCACCAGAGGCAGGACACTCTGACTCACGGTTCTGGAGTGCAAGGACTCGCCAGAGCAGGGTCTGAGCTCTCATGAGGCCAGGACTCCCCCGGCCCCTGTGGCCATGTTGGGTACACGAGCCTCCCTCTCTGGCTGTGTGGATGTTCTTCCTGTCCTCTAAAGCACCAGGACACACCAGATGATCTCATCGCTCCATCTCCCTGAGACCACACTCCTAAGCCCCACAGTGCGATCAAGTTCCCAGCCTGCTAAGGCAGTTCATGTGTGACATCAGGGCTTGTCCTCTTGCATGCGTTGGAAGAGCAGACTGGATTCAAATTGTAGTGTTCCTGCTCCCACTCCGGGAGAAGAAACAGAATGGGGGAAGGCAAGCAAGAACTGTGTGGAGCTGGACCTCAGCTGTGCCTCCAGAGAGGAGGTAGACAGAGCTGACCTTAATGATGCTGATAACAGAGAAGACATGGGTAAGGATGATGGCAAAATGATGATGGTGATAGTAAGAAAATGGATAAAGATGATAGATTGATGCATGGATGACAGTAAGTTGGGAGAAATGGATAAAGGTAGTAAGATGGAAGGATGGGTGGATAAAGATTATAGTATGATGCTATATGGATGGATGGGTGGGTGGATGGATGGATGGACAGACAGATGGATTGGGTGGACAGATGCACAAACAGGAAGCAGCGACAGTAGCCCTCTAGGAGCAGGGAAGACATTGAGTGCCCACATCCAGTCTCTAGCCGTCATTCTGTGCTAAAAGGAGCCAGGATTCCTCAGAGAAGAACTCATTCTGGAACTGCAGCCCAGAAAGTGCCAGGAAAACCTGGCAGATCTTGTGCCCAGAAAGTCAGAAAGCATTCAGAGAAATGACACATGGGCATGCAGTAGGAGCCCTAAATGACAGTTCAAAGGAGACTCACACAGGCCAAACCAGGGGAAAAGGAGTGTGCAAGGGAGAAACGCTGGTAGCAGATGCAGAGACACTGGGTTTCCACAGAAATCCAACGGAAATCCTTGAACGAGTGGGAGGAAGGGGCAGTTCAGTAGAATGCAGAGCATTGGAGGGGAGCAAGGCGGCTGAGAATCGCCACTTGCAGCCGTCAGCGTGACAAGTGGCTCATGCAAGGCTTGGCAGTGGATGCCGGGACCACCGAGTTTGTGCTTAGAGGGAACCGGGTTACTCACAGCCTCTGAGTGGCTCCCAGACGATCCATGGATCACAAAGAGGACAGGACACCTTTCCAATGGCAAGATCTGGCCAGCATCACCTCAGTGAATGTCACAAACATTGGAACAAAATATAAAGTGTCCCTGTTACTGGGCGCCAGGAGGCATGGGCAGGTAGGGAGGGGCCCACTGAGCACATGCCATCAAATCTGATCCTGACAACCCATGCAGACAGCCCCCACACTGACGACATTCACAGCAGAACAGAGCTGGAATCTTCTGAGATACTGACAGCATGATAGACCAGAACAGGCTAAGGGATTGTTAGGAATTCAAGGAAGCCAGAGAGACAGTCAGTACACATGGGGCATGGTCTTGGAAAAAACCTACGTGTGCCTGAAAGGACATTATTGGCCCATTGGTGACATGTGAAAATGCAGAGAGCGTGACATAAGATGCTGTGACAATGTCAGTTTCCTGAACTTGTGAATGTGTGTGTGGTTGTTTAAGACCATCTCTCATTGTTAGTGAATGCGGGCTGACCTATTTAGAAGTGAAAGGTCAGGGCATCTACAATTCATTCTGCAATGGCTCCGACAAAAACTAAACTGTCCAGTAGACAGCATGTCACTCCTTGGATGCCTTTTTCTCTTCTTGCCACCGTCTAGCTCATTCACTCTCACTGTGCCTGTTCAAGGTCCTAAGGGGGAGAATTTGCCGGGGGAAGGAGCCCCTCCCCCAGCCTCTGGTTGGTTGCAGTACTTGGGACAAGGCTTTGGATCAGACTCAGGATTGGGAGCCTGGGGTCAGGTGACCACCCACTTGTCCAGTCAGACCCAAGATGGGTAATGTGATCTGCATCATGGCTCCCACCCCTCCTTTTGTCATGGAGTCAGTGGGCAGGCCCCAGTCCTCACATGCATGGTGGTCAGTGTGTCCTGATCTCCCATCCCTCAGAGCTAACCCTTGAAGGCTTGTGAGCTAACTTTGGGCCTCATCCTCACTCTTTCCACAAACATTACCAGTTACTGCTGAGGGTTGACCTCCTGCTGGATCCTTGGGAACTGGAACTGGGATGGCACAAGCTGGGGTTACAGCAGGGGTGGGAGGGGTCCTCACGAACCCAGGCACTGGCTGTGGCTCGTGGTGGGGACAGGGCCTCGGATGAGGAGGATTCGGCACTGTTGCCAGGTGCCAAGCCCTAAGTGTTCTGTTTTCTGTTGTCACAGCCCGACCCGGCGGGGCGGGACATCTCTGTGCGCCCCCTCCTGGAGCACTGTGAAAACACCCACATGACCATCTGGCTTGGCATCGTCTACGCCTACAAGGGGCTTCTCATGGTAAGTGGCAAGCAGGAGGCAGGGCTGAGGAAGAGAGGACCCCTTCTCTTTCTTTCTCTCTCTCTCTTTCTCTCTCTCTCTCTCTCTCTCTCTCCCTCTCTGGCAGTGTAAACTAAGCAGAGCCCCATGCCTAAGCACTTGCTGTCTGCCCAGCCTGGACTTGCCCACATGTTCTCTATAGGAAACAGTACAAATAATATGCCCATTTCACTGATGAGGACACAGAGGCTCCAGGCCTTGCTTGAGGCCACTCAGTTCATAAAGGACAGAGTCAAGCTATCAACCATAGTAAACCACAGAACTACAGTTGCCCCTGAGCTGCTCCCAGCAACAGGTAACAGCAGGGCAGGCTCCCCTCCTGCATCCCACTGGGCCTTCTCTCTTTCCATGAGCAGCAGGCACTGTCATCCCCACTCTACATCTAAGCAAAGTCAAGGCCCAGAGAAGCTCCGTGATTTACCAAAGACTCCAGGGCAGCCTCGGGTCTCTGCATCCAGCACACTTTCCACTTGGGGCTTGTCCATCACCAAAGTCATTCAGCAAGCCCATAGAACACCATAGTGCAGGATCAGGGCTAGGAAACCCCCAACAAGCCTGAGCCACAGCGGGCCTGGCATCTCTCCTCCATCCTGTGCCTACCATGCCTTCCTTCACAGCTCTCTGGGGACAAGAAGCAGGCTACTACTCCATGGAGCTTCCCACCGTCTACCTAGCTATATGTAGCCCCTATTCTGAGGCTGACAATGGAGTCCTCACCAAGACTAGCACTTCCGGTGCTGCTCAGATGTGCTCTCACCAGCTGCTGCCTCAGAGACTGGGTAGCAATTGGTCCGGCACCCTGCAAAAGGCCACCCCCAGAAGGGCATGGCTAGGAGCCCCTAGGCCAAGAGTGTGCCCCGCTCTCCATGCCAGTTGAAACCTCTTGAGGTTGTGTCTCAGAGGTCTGCTGGGTCCCTTTTTGTAAGCACATAGGACTACTGCACAGCAATGTGGGTCCCCAACACACTGACCCACAGGTGATACCCCGAGTGGACTGACCGAGGGTCATGGGCTTGAATTCACAAGAAGCCTGCATTGCCCAAGAGGTACTCAGCCACCACCCCCACAGTGGAAACCAGGAGCCAAGACTGCAGGCAGGCGGCATCCATGGGGTCTGGCCAGCAGCAGAGCCGGCTCTCTCCCCCCAAGGGAAGCTTCTGAGAGCAACAGGTACATGTCACGCCCTGTGCTAACCTTCTGTCCTTTCTGTCCACTCCCGGTGCCAGCTGTTCGGCTGTTTCTTGGCCTGGGAGACTCGTAACGTCAGCATCCCAGCCCTCAATGACAGCAAGTACATCGGCATGAGCGTCTACAACGTGGGCATCATGTGCATCATCGGGGCCGCCGTCTCCTTCCTGACCCGGGACCAGCCCAACGTGCAGTTCTGCATCGTGGCCCTGGTCATCATCTTCTGCAGCACCATCACCCTCTGCCTGGTGTTTGTGCCCAAGGTAGACGCTACTTCAGGGCATTGCTGTAGAAAACTGCCTTGTTTATGTCTGTTTTACCATTGCCGTTTGGCAGGTGCTTCCTTCACCTCTTTCCATTTGATTTTCTGGGTTTTTTTTTTTTTAAGGTTTATTTATTTTGTTGGAAAGGCAGATAGAGAGAAGGAGAGGCAGAGAGGAAGATCTTCCATCTGATGGTTCACTCCCCAAACAGCTGCAACAGCTGGAACTGAGCCAATCTGAAGCCAGGAACCAGGAGCTTCCTGTGGGTCTCCCACGTGGGTGCAGGGTCCCAAGACTTTGAGCCGTCCTCGACTGCTTTCACAGGCCCAAAGCAGGGAGCTGGATGGGAAGCAGGGCCGCCGGGATTAGAACCTGCACCCATATGGGATCCCGGCACATTCATGGCAAGGACTTCAGCCACTAGGCTATCATGCCAGGCCCATGTCTTTGCATTTGTAAAGGCTGGCAGTGGACATTGTTAAGATTTGGTCCTGAATACAGCACAGCTGTGACTTTGTTGGTGACCCTTTCTGTTTAACATGTGTGCCTGTGTTTCCCACATTCAGAACCTTCACTCAGGGCAGCTCCCGTAGGTCCGTGTCCACCTGACCCCTTGCAGATAGTTTTATATTATAGATGAATATTTTTAGAGACTTATCCATGTGGCTATTTATTCAAAAGGCAGGGTCATAGAGACAGGGACAGAGAGAGAAAAATATCCCATCCACTGATTTACTCCCCAAATGGGCGCATCAGCCAGAAGTAGGCCAGGCAAAAGCCAAGAGCATGAAACTCTGTCTGGGGTATCCCATGTGGATGCAGGGATCCAAACACTTGAGCCATCTTCCACTGCCTTCCCAGGTACGTTAGCAGGGAGCTGGTTCACAAATGGAACAACTGGGACTCGAACCAGCACCCATAGGGGATGCTGGCATTGCAGGAAGTGGCTTAATGAGCTGTGTCATAATGCCAGAGATCACTCTAGAGTAAAATCAAAAATGGGTAAAATCAGATTGAAGTAGAAAAATTTTATATGAGATTTTTAAAATGTCTTTGGGCTCAGCTAAACCATGCCACAGCCTCCTAAGCCCAGGCAACTGGAAGAGAGCAAATGTGTGGGTGTGGCTTTATGCTATTTTAAAACAAGCACTTTTGCCGATTTCAGAGCTAGCTACCAGCCTGCCCCAAATCCATCACCCATCAGTGGCTCTAACCAGAGACCTTCCCTTTACCCCATTGCCAGCAGCTGTCTCCTCCACAGTCTAGGCTCAGCCAGAGCTGGATGTGTAGGAACCTGGTGCTCCCTCAGGCAGCTGAGGGAATCGGGATTAGGGCCAGGAGGGATGCTGATGCTGAGCGAGGGCAGAGATCACACCCAAATAAGTGGCAAAGCCTGCAGAGCCCAGGCTCCTGACTCCTCCCCCGAGCCTGTGTCCCTCCCCGAGCCACTTGGAGCGGGACTTGCGGGGAGGGAGGCAGTAGGTGTGGGAAGAGAGGCCCAGGGTTTTCTCTAAATTCAGCCCCGCCTCGGCCTTGCAGCTCATCACGTTGAGAACGAACCCAGATGCAGCGACGCAGAACAGACGGTTCCAGTTCACACAGAACCAGAAGAAAGAAGACTCCAAGACATCCACGTCGGTCACCAGTGTGAACCAGGCCAGCACATCGCGCCTGGAGGGCCTGCAGTCGGAAAACCACCGCCTGCGCATGAAGATCACAGAGGTAGCTCTGTCCCCTGCATCCTGGCCTCGCCCGGGTCTCCTACTGGGGAGGGGGGCGGGACAACAAAACCTGTCCCCCGTGGCTTGTCCCTACAGGACTTTCTTGCCCATCTGGCCTGGGGCTTTCAGAAGGAAAGGAATGCCCGGGGATTTGCTCACTGGCTCACACTCTCACTCTCTCCCCTGGCTTCTCTCCGCACAACACTATAGCCACTTGCATCTCAGCAATTTCGAGCCAGAGAAAGCAACCCTCCAGGAAGGAGGCCTTCCTATGGCAAACCTGACCTTTGTCCTGAGGGCCCTTTTCCAAATCGATCAGTTGAACAGAGCCCAGCTGCTGGGTCACCCCCAAGATGCCCCCACAGCAGCCAAGAGTGGGCCAGATTAAAATAGGAACTCAGTTCATGTCTCCCAGGCAGATGTCAGAAACCCAAGCCCTTGAGCAACATGTTACCTGTTGCCTACCAGGACACACACGTTAGGAGGAAGCTACAATGAGGAGTAGAGCCGGCCCTCTAACCCAGGCAAGCTGATACCAGCTGCTGGTATCCCTAGCAGTGTCTTTTTTAAAGTTATTTCTTTATTTGTTCATTCATTCATTCATTCAGTCATTAGAAAAGCAGATTTGGGGGCCCATCAGCGTGGCCTAGCGGCTAAAGTCCTTGCTTTGAACACGCCGGGATCCCATATGGGTGCCGGTTCTAATCCCAGCAGCTCCACTTCCCATCTAGCTCCCTGCTTTGGGCCTGTGAAAGCAGTCGAGGATGGCCCAAAGCCTTGGGACGCTGCACCCACGTGGGAGACCCAGAAGTGGTTTCCGGTTCCCCGGCTTCGGATTGGTGCAGCACCAACCGTTGTGGTCACTTGGGGAGTGAATCATCGAACAGAAGATCTTCCTCTCTGTCTCTCCTCCTCTCTGTAATAACAATAAATAAATCTTTAAAAAATAAAAAAAAAGGCAGATTTACAGAGAGAAGGAGAAACAGAGAAAGATCTTCCATCCACTGGTTCATTCCCCAAGCGGCCACAACAGCCAGAACTGAGCTGATGCTAAGCCAGGAGCCTCTTCCAGTTCTCCCATGCAGGTATAGGTCCTAGGGATTTGGGCCATTCTCCACTGCTTTTCCAGACCACAAGCAGGGAGCTGGATGGAAAGTGGAGCAGCTGAGACATGAACCTATATGCATACAGGATACAGGTGCTTTAGCGAATTGAGCTGTCATGTTGGCCCCAAATGATTTTAACTAACACCTCATCCACCACTCTTCTGGAGGTTCCTCACTGGCTCTTGAATGTTCCAGACAGGCCAACAGCAGACTTTTCCATACCAGGAAGGTGACCCCCAACTCCATTGCCCTGTTCCACCTCCTTGGGTCGAGAGGACTAGACCTGTAAGTTGAGGACCTCTGACTCAGTGAGGACAGAAGGAGCACAGGAAAGCATGTTGATGAGGATGCTGGCCAGGCGCTGGAAGAAAAAAGTCCCAAACGAGCTGGCCCAGGGAGAAAATGTTGATTTCTCTCCCACCTAACAGCCCTTAGAGACGGCCACGAGCAGCTGGGCTCCCCACAGTGCTTCCCGGACTGGATTCCTTCTCTGGGTTTTCTGCCTCTCTTACCAGCAAGAGGCTTGATGAGTTCTTTCCTCTTTGCTCCACTTAGCATAGAAATAAAAATCCAGGAAGCAAGTGCAAGCATAAGACATTATTATTCTTAGCAAAGTGAAGCAACATCCCTTCAAGGATGTAGGGAAATGGAATGTTCAGCTGGACACTGGCTTCAGGAGAAATGGTTTGGGCTTTTTAAGGTTTCTCTCTCTCTTTCTCTCCCTCTCTCTATCTCCCCCCCCCCCCCCCCATAGTCATGGACTTAGGCAGGAGCAGAGAGAAGCACCTGGGAAGAGATTTTTGCAGTTTGTTCATTGGTCAGCAATTTCATCCAGCTGCAACATTGCACCTATCAAAGCACATAGCCTATACAGGGTCTCTGTCTAAACACCCTGGAAGCTGGAACAGTGCTTACAAGCAGAAGGGGTGTTGCTATCACACCAGAGGTAGCCAACTTGGGTCCTTCCTGAGTCGGTGTAATTTCTAAGAGGAATCATATACGCTCCTTTAAAGGCTGAGGTGACTGTATTAGATCGGAGATGATCAGCTGGGATGCACCTGTCCCCGCTTTCCAGGGCAAAGCTGGTCAGGTGTTTGGCTATGACGGGTCATCGGGTCATCGTTGGATCTCTGTCTTCCCATCTGGCCTGGTCCCTCTAGGTTGGCCACAGCATAGTCAACACCCGGCTACTTCGTTACCCTCCACTATGTGCATCAACGTAGCAAAGAGCACATTGTGAACCCAGACAGAGTCATGTTGCAAGATATGGGACACTCCAAAGGAGAGGCAGGTTGGAGACAGGAGATAGTAGAAAAGCATCCTACACTGGCAGGGTAGGAGAGTACCGGAAGGTACAAGTTCAGTCACTTAGGGGATGACAGCTCTCAAGCTTGCAGCAAGGATTAGAGCCACACCTGTGATCACAGACAATTGTAGGGGGGACAGGATGTGACACACATGAGAAAACACTTATGTGTGGGCATTTTCTCCCAGAGTAGCCTGTGACCTGCCTGCTGGCTCACACGTGTGCATGGGCTCTGTAGAATCAGGTCAGTCAGACATTTGGATCTCACTGGGTGTCTCTGCAGCCGCCCACCTCTTCCCCCTACTGGGGGGGATGACCAGGTGTCTACCTCGGAGCGTTGATGGAAGTAGGGACAGAAGTGACAGCAGGGAAGCCCCCACCCCCACCCAGGGAGCAATTTGCCTTTTTCTAATACAAAGTGTAAGGTGGTGTAAGTTTGGGTTTGGGTTGTTTGGTTTTTGTTCTCAGTTGAAAGTCTTACTTTTTTGTGAGGCTTAGGAAACCAGCTGGAAGCCTCAAGGTCAAAGCCTTGATTTTAGAGCTTTCATTGGAAACCAACTGTTACAGGTTTAAATCATTTGGTCAAAGTAAAAGTTAGACCTGAGCCTTTTAACCAAAGCAGTGCACAAGATCTAATTAGTTGGAAAGTTAACTCTTGCAAGACTTAACATTTATAAATCAATTAAACTCAATAGATGTAACAGAAAACACATATAAAACACAGAAAAACTTCAATTGAAAGAATTAACATGTGGTATCAGAATATACATTCAGCATGCAGGACAGTTAATACATCATGTAACAGGAGCAGGCAGTCCTGCAGTCCTGTTGCTTTGCTTTGCTTTGCTTTGCTTTGCTTTGCTTTGCTTTGCTTTGCTTTGCTTTGCTTTGCTTTGCTTTAAGAAAAACTACCTTTTAAAATTTCCTTCTAGTCTCACCCAAACAAACTTGGCACAGCACTTCCACAAACCTTTTGCAACATGCTCATTCTTCAGTTTCTCTTTCCATCATAAATCTATTTTTTTCCACCTTCAAAGATTTATTTATTTTTATTGCTAAGGCAGATTTACAGAGAGAAGGAGAGAGAAATATCTTCCGCACACTCGTTCACTTCCCAAGTGGCTGCAATGGCCACAGCTGAGCCGATCCGAAGCCAAGAGCTTCTTCCAAGTCTCCCAAGCAGGTGCAGGGTCCCAAGGTTTTGGGCCGTCTTCAACTGCTTTCCCAGGCCACAGGCAGGGAGCTGGATGGGAAATCGTGGAACACAAACCAGAATGCATATGAGATCCCAGCACGTGCTAGCGGAGGATTTAACCACTGAGCCATCACACCAGGCCCCATCAAAAGTCTTTTTATCAAAACATTCCTTTAACCTTTCATCAGCAAGGATACATTCTCACACGTAGAGCTTTCCTGAAAACTCTATTTTCTATTTACTGGTTCCTTCGATCCACCTCACAAACTCAGTGACTCTAAGAGGAAAATCATCTTCTAAAAGATTCTATAGAATTTAACTTTTAGTTACTTTAGTCAAAGGAAAACAACCAGGGACACTGGCAGGGTTGTGGGGATGGGGGACCAAGCCAGAGCCACAGGAACTTTGGCTGAAAGGTCCCTTCCCAAAAGAGGGGCGGGGGGGTCCCTGGGAGATTGCCCCGGGAGTCGGCCAGGACTCAGGGATTGACCTGACACACCTGTGAGGACACATCTGTGTGCAAAGGACAAGGCAGCAGGAACATGTGAGCCCAGCATCAGAGGGACCCAGGTTGGGGGAGCCTGGAAGGGGAGACACCAAGACCCATCATGGCTGAGAGGCCTGGTCCCGTGACCCCTGCTCCTTTAGAGCCAACTTCCTTCAAAAGGACAGCACCTGCCCTGTACTGCATGGCAACCGGTCCTGCAGCCTGCTCCCTTCCACCCACTGCTGGTACCAGCTGGGAAATGCTCTCCCTCCATACCTGGGTAAGACTTGGAGGTCTTTTACCTTTTGTGGGCAGTTTGTCCCCAGGTAGGAAGGGCAAGCCCCTCCAGAAGCGGGCAGTTTGGGGCCCGGCTCTCCCGGCTTCAGGCAGGATTACAGGCCTTTGGGCTCAGCAGGTGGAGAGGCTGAGGGAACCGAAAGAGAAACATCTTTAAGGGGAATCGTGGACAACTCCTGGACACTCCTTTCTCTTTGTTATTAGCTATGTTCTCTGTTTTTTGAACCAAGGTCTTCCTTTTCCCTTCAATTTTAGAGCAAATTGGGGTGAGCCCTAGGATAAAAGAACGACTGAACATAGGGAATTTCTCCACATTTGCCTTGGCAGCAACAAGAGTCTAACTGGAGGAGGCTGTTCTAATTGAGGCATCCCAAACGAAACCAGGTCTCCCCATGCTTTGAGGGGTATTTGGACTATATCTCGGAACAGGAAAGGATACCGAGTTTAAGAGTCTCAAGGTCAAAATGGTCTCCATTTTTGAGGAGGCAGCCAAGTTCATGAGTCCTTCGGGATGTTTGGGATCCCCCCATGAGCAACGAGAGGAACACCCAAGAGAAAGGTTCTCCTCTTCCTAGCTCATTCTAAGATTGAAAAGGGCCCATGGTCAAGACTGAGGGCAAGTCCAACCTGATCTGCTGGACACCTACATGTGTGGTCATTGTGAAGGTGGTCTCATTGTCCATCGGGACGGACCACTCTCACACCCCACCCTCTTGCCTTCCTGCCTGATCGGTCGCTGTGTGTAGACTGGATCCAACCTTCCAGGTGGAGAGGGAGGTGCCCGCTTTCCAGACCCCATCTCTCAGTTCACTATCCGCACTTACTAAATGTGCTGGCTGTGCAAGGTGAAACCTTGGAGTTTCCTAGGCAACCAAGGTGGAGGGGAGTTTCCCCTGTTTCTGTGTCCAGACATGCAGGGGAAGAGGTTGCAGCCGTCTTTCCAGACTAGACAACCTCTTGAGTACTCTCTCAAGCAGCCTCTTTGTCAGCCCAGACACCTGAGTCCCCCATAACCCTGTCTTTGTTCATGATTATGAGAAAATTTTTTTAAAGCTCAAGGCGTTTCTCCCAAAACCAGGATGCAGTTGTACCTACATCCTCAGGAAGGGATGCATTCCTATTGCTTCACTTCATACCAAGTTTCTCTTGCCCATGCACTTACTTCCCGGCTTTGTATTTCTGTACTGAGTTGAGAGAAGACCCTGCCAAGCTTCCCCAGTAACCATGTGATCCTTTTTCTTAATCAAATGGCTCCTGGTCAGTCTCTGCATCGTCAAATCCTTCAACCCTCAAAACAGACAAGTTTTTTAAGAGTCTCTGTGCAACCCAGGGCCATGGGTGGTGAGTAATGCCAAGGTCTCTAGGGAGGCTTCTTGCAGGGTCTCTGGCCAGCAGGGTTAATACTCTAGTATTTTCTAAAATGTATGGTTGCTATTACTGGGACCTCTAAGGGGAGTGCTTCTACTGTGGCCCTCCTCACTGCACTTGTCTTCTATGGCTCTTTAGACTTACCCACCAAAAAAAAAATATATATATATATATTAGCCCTAGATTAGTTAAGCTTTGCTCACATGGCTAGGCAGCATGAGAGGCAAGCATCAGTGTGTCACCACCAGCTAACCATAGTGAGCTCAGGAAACCTCCGATTCTAGATCAGCTGCCCTTCCTGAACTATGCCCCACCTCTGCCCACAGTACAATCCCTCTGGATCTTCAACCCTAGCCAAGCCGTAGTTGGGAGGACTCCATGCTTACAGAGAGCTGGGTGGTGCTGCAAACAGTCAGTCCCACAGACGCTCTCACGCCACAGGGAAGAGAATACACACCTGATGAAGTCTTCTCACTGTTGAATCAGACCACCCCACACTGCCGCACGGTGGGCACCAGGAATGCTGCCGGCGAAGCTTGCAGCTTGGTGCGTGCCTTCCTTGGCTTAGCATAGAAATAAAAAGCCAGGAAGCAAGTGCAAGTGTGAGACACTTTGTTCTCAGCAAAGTCAAGTGACAAGAAAGCATGTCCCCAAGAGAATGTAGGGAAGTGGCCTGCCCAGCTGGGCACTGGCTTGAGCTTTTTAAGGTTTTTTTCTTTCTCTTTCTCATAGTCATGAACTGAGGGAGGGCCAGAGGGGGACCCAGCGACTGGGCTGATAGAAAGATACCTGGAAGGAGATTTATGCAATTTGTATTGGTCAGCAACATTCATCAACTGCGACATTGCTCCACTGGCTATCTGTTCTGGTACCATGACCCCCAACCCCTCTCCCTGTGTCTGGGCAGAGGAGCACAAGGGGAACCCCCTTCTACGTGGGTTGCCTAGGCAATTCCAAGGTCTTGCGTTGCACAGCTTTGCATAGCCAGCATGTTTAGTATGTGTGGACAGAATTGTGCAATGGGATCTGTGAGGAGGACAACACCCCCCATCCTCCTCTAGAGCTCTGTTCTGGGCCTCAACTCCCAAGCAGTTGGCAAGAACGTACTTGAGCTCACCTAGCCACAGACAACCCGATTGTCACCAGGAGGAAGTGAGAGGAAGGTGGCCAGATGAGAGGATGTCCAACGGAACTTGAGTTTCAAATAAACAATTTTGTTTTCAGTATAACTGTATCCCAACACTTGGGATCTACTTACAGGAAAGAAAGGGCTCATTATCTGAAATGCACCTGCAACTGGACATGCTGTTTGAATGTTCCAGAGCTGGTAGCCCTCCTGAGAGAGCTCACAAGCAGTGATGTGTGCACCTGCCAATACCTGCTGCAGGACAGGGCAGGGCCCCAAGCAGAGTAGGAGGGCCCTGTCCCTTGATGCCCACTGCGGGTTCTATTTTAACTCATACTTCTCTAGGGTTACTGATACCATATCCCTGCCGGTCCATGTTGGTGTACACACTCCAGTCATCCAGAGTTCACGGTCTGAGCTGCTGGTAACAACCCCAAAATGTTGGGCTATTTAATCCCCATATGGCCTCCTGTGATCCCAGCGGCTCTGCTACCTAAATGCTCCAGAAAGGGTATCTTCCTCTCCGACTGCCTGAAGATGTGTTGAACCACTTGATTATTGTGGGGCTGACCTCAGAAGACCACTTTGTAGTTTGTGAGGTCCCTACCCCATAAACTGTACCACCCATCCCAACTATCCTAAGCCCCCTTCCCTAACACACAGACACACACACACACACACAGACACACACACACACAGACACACTTCTCTGGGGATGCATTACCTCAGGATTTGCACCTGATTTTTATTCAACCTAAGGAAGACAGAGACCTGTTCCGACAGACTCCTGAGGTTGAACCCCATGCTGGGCTGTGCATCAGGACAATGTGTGTCTCAGAGCAGACAAGCCCTTACCTGTGCATCCTCCTGACTGGGGGTCTCGCTGGGGCCCAATAGCTAGGGGCAGTAGTTAAGGTAACGCTCTTGTAGGAGTGGCTTTTTTTGCTATGCATTATCTCAATCTTCATGACACCCACACAAGGTAGGCGTGATCACCACCCCGCACAATAGATAAGAAAATTAAGACTGGGGTCCTACCCATTAGCACAAGCATGCAAAGAACACTCCTGAAATTGTCCCAGATCTATCCAACCCCAGAACCCAGGCCCTCACCATCTCCCTGCCTCTGCCTCCCTGGGCTCGCCTGGCCACACCATCAAGAGGCAAGCCCTACACCAAATCCAGCTTCCTCCCAACATAGTCCCTGCTTGAACAAGAACTGTCGGCTCCCTCCGCTCATCTACTCCAAGATGCAGCAGCCCCTGGTTCTCTGCACCCTCCAACATCAAGCTGCCAGGGGCTGGGGTGGGGTAGGGGTGGGGATTCGGAGTCAGCTGGAGCCTGTGTCTTGCAGCTGGATAAAGACTTGGAAGAGGTCACCATGCAGCTGCAGGACACCCCAGAGAAGACCACCTACATTAAACAGAACCACTACCAAGAGCTCAATGACATCCTCAACCTTGGCAACTTCCCCGAGAGCACAGGTAAGAGAGGGGGGCTCCTGCACTGCCAGCTGCCGTCAGCTTCCATTTGGCCGATGAGGAAGCTGAGGCTCAGAGGGCGGGTGCTGCTGCAGGTCCTGTATCCCGACCACAGTTTGAGGTCTGCCTAGAGCTCCTCCCACCTCCACCTGGTCCTTGGGCTTCCAGATCCTGTCGCTCAACATCCAGTTCCACACAAATACAACATGGCCAGCAATCCCAGTATGCTGACTGCATGCCCACTGCCCTGGGGTCCTTAGCAGGCACTCTACCAGTGTCCTTGGAACAGCACCTACGCTTCCAGGTGCCCCTCATCAAGATACAAGGAAAGGATGGGCAGCAAGGTAGGATACAATATCTGGCTAACCCAGTGTCTGGGACTGCAAATGCCAACACACACCATATGTGCCTGCCCTTCAGCCAACACTGAATGCATTTCCAGTACTGGAAAGAGTGTTTGGAAATGGGCTTTCTTCTGTATTGGATTTTTTTTTAGGATTTATTTATTTTTATTAGAAAGGCAGATATACAGAGAGGAGGAGAGAGAGGAAGATCTTCTGTCTGATGGTTCACTCCCTAAGTGACCACAATGGCTGAAGCCGTGTCAGTCCGAAGCCAGGAGCCCAGGGCTTCTTCTGAGTCTCCCACACAAGTGCAGGGTCCCAAGGCTTTGGGCCATTCTCGACTGCTTTCCCAGTCTGCAAGCAGGGAGCTAGATGGGAAGCAGGACCACCATGATCAAAACCAGCATTTATATGGGATCCCAGTATGTTCAAGGCAAGGACTTTAGCCGCTAGGCCAACACGCCAGGCCCTGTACTGTTTTGAAAGCCCATCTGGCATCATCCAGTTGCAGGGACGTGGCAGGTAGAGATGGTCCCACACAGGCAATGGAGAACACACAATACTTCTGTAGGTGGTGCTGTGACCCCAGTGGGCTGTGACAACTTACACTCTCACCCAAAGTTCACTGTTACACTTTTCCATTTCTGCCATTCTTAACAAACATATCTTCTTTTTTTTTTTTAAGTTGCAAAGGCAGATTTGCAAAGAGAAGGAGAGATAGAGAGAAAGATCTTCTGCCCACTGGTTCACTCCCCAAGTGGCAACAACAGCCAGAGCTGAGCTGATCTGAAGTCAGGAGCCAGGAGCTTCATCTGGGACTCCCACACAGGTGCAGGGTCCCCAGGCCTTAAGCCATCCTCCACTGCTGTCCTAGGCCACAAACAGGGAGCTGGATAGAAAGTGGAGCAACCAGGACATGAACCAGTACCCATGTGGGATCCCAGCACATGCAAGGCAAGGATTTAGCCACTAGGCTACCACACCAGGCCCAGCAACCATATCTCTTACAGGAGTCTGTTTTTATCATTATGTCCCTACACAGCTTGAAGAGGAAGACCTCTGATTTAGAACCTGATATTCCTAAGTTACATTGCCTACGTGGTTCTCCCTGCTTTCTCTCTTTCATCTCTTAGAAGAAGGGCAGCCCAGGGCAGGCCACACACATGCCCAGCACACTACTTCTACCCTGGCCGAGGCTCCAGGACTCACAACCTTGGACCCAGGAGAACCACTAGACAGACCTCAGCGTGACCAACACAGAGACGATGGCTCTTTCACTTCCTTGTTGCCTTTGAGCAGTTTCCTAGAAAGCTTGTCTTTACTATTTTTTTTAATATTTATTTGAAAGGCAACGTAACAGAGAGAGGGGCAGAGACAGAAAGAACTCTGGTTCACGCCCCCAAAGCTGGACCTGGCCAGAAACCTGGAATTCTATCATGGTCTCCCACATGGGTGGCAAAGTCCCAAGTTTAGAGGCTGTCTTTTGCTGCTTTCCCAGGAGCATTAGCGAACAGCTGGGCAGAAAGCAGAGCATCCGAGATTCGAATCAGAGTTCCAGTGTGGGATGCCCGTATTACACATGGCAGCCTAAGCCTCTGGGTCACACCAGCTCAACCCGATGGCGGGGGTTTTCTTTTAAAAACTGAGTTAGGGGCCAACCAGGTGGCATATCAGGCTAATCACATGTCTGCAGTGTGTCCCAGCTTCTCCACTTCCAATTAAGCTCTCTGGTTGTGGCCTGGGAAATCAGCAGAGGATGGCCTACGTCCTTGGGCCTCTGTACCAATGTGGGAGACCAGAAGGAAGCTCCTGATTCCTGGCTTCCGGCCAGCTCAGCTCTGGCTGTGTTGCAGCCCTTTGGGGGAGGGAGTGAACAAGCAGAAAGCAAATCTCAGAAAAAAATGGAGTTGACTGTGTTATCATTTTATTGTTTTACATTCAGATGGGGGAAAAGCCATTTTAAAAAATCACCTTGATCAGAATCCCCAGCTGCAGTGGAATACAACAGAGCCCTCACGGACATGCAAAGATCCTATAGAAGATATAAACTCCCCAGAACAGTAAGTACCTGCTCCTTTGAAACTAATCACCCAACGGGTCGGCATTCCCACACGTGGCTGATAGTTGGCACCATGCGTACTCACAACTGTTGCTTGATTTGAACTCAGCAGCGATCTTATAGTGCAAGAATTACGATGTTCTTTTTACAGATGAGAAAAACCAGTATTCACAAGAGGGGAGGAGGGATCTTATCCAAGCTTACTTTGCTGTGAAACACAGGCGCTCAGACATGAGCTTGGCTCTTTACAACATTAAAGCCCACTTCTCTACCTTCATTATACATAGTATTGAACCTTGCTAAAGCCATTTACTGAAAGAGACCCCTACCAGGTATCAGGTGTAGGTGCTAAGGACACAGCGTGGAACTCCCATTCTGTCTGGCAGGAGAACAGGTGAATTTAAAATGCAGTACATGGGCTGAGTGTGTTGAGTGATAGTTGCTTCAAGGAAAAGTCAGTCAGGGTATATGGATATGGGAACAGGAGTGTCTATTACAGAAAAGCAACTACAAGGTGCTGCCTAAGTACAGACCCGAACACCTCACCGTGTCTGCCCTGCCCTTTGGCAATTGTAGTGCACCCCCCCAACCTTCAGCAGCTGGGAAGCAAAGGCTGCAAATGTGAACTCCAAAGGCAGACCTCTGGAAAGTAACAGGCAGAGTGGACCAGGAGCTGCAGGATTGCGAGAGCCAGTTAATGCCAGAGCTGACAGCCTAACAGGCAGATTAGCTGCAAGGCGGGGAATAGCCTACGGTGGCTCCCTGGCAGGTGCTGGCAGCCTGATGGAATGGAAGTGCCATGAGGGTAAGGTATGGTCCTCGAGTGCCTCTGGCCCTCCATTGCCAACACTGAGCAGGTTCTCAGCAAACTTGTGTTAAACACACGAGAAAGTGAATAGTATCCCAACAGCAGAATAATTCTGTAACTCTGACGACCACAGGCCTTGCCCGGGGAAATAAACCTTGCCCCCTTCTCCCAGGTCAAAAGAGAATCTTCCTGGGTGCTTGGCCAACTTCTTGTTGCACTAAGGACTAGGTCATGGCCATCATGGCATAGATTCCTCTTTCATTTTAAAATGAGCTCTCTGCTCCTAGGCACATCTGTGAGATGTCTCTTGGGAGAAGCTTGTCTGGCCAACAGGTACTTGAGAATGGGGCAGAGGGCGGAAGGCAACAGCCATCAACATCCTAAGTAAACTTGGAATGAGACAGCTGCTCATAAGTGGGTTTGATTCCCACCATGAAGCAAGAATCCCAGCTGCTCCAGGTGTGATCTTGTTTCTGTGAACAAGTGACAGAAGCTCTCTGCTCTGCCCTCTTCTGTGTAACAGAGATAGCAGTATTTCTTTGGCCTATTGGCTTTTGCTGAGATCTGGGTTTTTTGTTGTTGTTATTTTTTGCCACCAGAGACACAAGGAGGCCTCAGAACTCAGTGCCTTCCTGGGCAACTGGGGCATACTAGGTGAGCAAAGGAAGACCATCAAGAAATGAAGCTGGCCACGCGAAGCTCAGGAGCAGTTACCCAGCACGCTGGCCATGCACAGCCTTCCCAGCAGTGAGGGTAGCTGGCCACACTGCGGTTCCCAGGACCATTACGGCTGTGGCAGCGAGAAAGGGCTCCCTCTCCCTTGCTGCTCCTCCACCCCCAGGCTGACTTCACTTTCAGTTTGTCCCTGCCTTCCTCTCTGGGTATTCCCCAAGGGTTCTGGGGACCTCAAGGAGGGAGGGGCTCGTGCTTTACTGAAGTCGGTATGTAAAGAATGACATTTAATTTAAAATTTTTTTCAAGAGGCAGAGAACACCCATCTGCTGGCTAGCTCTGCAGATGCCTGCAAAAGAGGGTGAAGGGCAAAGTGGAGAATCAGGAACTCAATCCAGGTCTCCCACGTGGGTGGTAGACACCCAATCACAGGACACAACGCACTGCCTCCTGGGATCCGATCAGGATTGGGACTACAAGAAGCTGGAATCCACGGTGAACCCAGGTCTCCACCAGGGGGCATCGATGTCTTCAATGCCAAGCCAGACATTCAGACTGGAACTGGAAAGAAATGCAGACAAAGAATATTCCAGGCAGAGAAATAGCACGTGTCCAGTGAAACAGAGGCCACATTGCAGGGGTGTCAGAGAGACGTTTTGGTGATAAATGGATCTCAGGGAGCCTCAAAGCGTGCCCTTTTCCGTCTCCTCGCTCCCGCTAGGAACGATACTAAAGCACTAACTCTCCTCCCTGTCTTTCCTTGCAGCATCCAGCGCCGGCTGTCCCTCCAGCTCCCCATCCTCCACCACGCCTACCTCCCGTCCATCGGAGGCGTGGACGCCAGCTGCGTCAGCCCCTGCGTCAGCCCCACTGCCAGCCCCCGCCACAGACACGTACCGCCCTCCTTTCGAGTCATGGTCTCAGGCCTGTAAGGTGGGAGGCCCGGGGCCAGGGCCTCACCATGACGGAACCACACACTGGGGCAGGGCAGGGGCGGCGGCTGCGGGAGAACCTGGGCGCCACAGCTGGCCTCTCGGGACTGCTCGGACAGCACTCAGGGGGACACGGCCCGGGGAGGCCTTGGCACCTGACCTCGAGCCTTATTGGTGAAGTTTTTTTCACAAAGAAGAGGAATGGAAATGACTTCTTCCTGCAGTCATTCCTCCTATGAACGAGGAGGAGCTGACATATCTGAAACTTGCAAAAAATAATAATAATCATAATAAGTCTAGACAAGGAGAAAGGCAGGCGCACTCCAGCTACAAGTCGGCGTGTCCTCAAGCAGCCTGGGGAACAGGCTGGGGCTTGTGGAGACAGCGTTGCTGTCCTCTGCACACACATCCCCGGCCCCAGGCTGGCGCTGCACCTCCTGTCCACCAAGGGACAGCCGGGCAGAGCCACCAGCTGCAGTGGTGGCCAGCTCAGCCCCCTCCTTTAGCCACTGTGGAGCAGGGAGTCTGCAGAAAGGGCAGTGGCCATTGGCTGGCACCCAGAGGGCTGGGCTGCAGAGCAGGCAGCCTCACAAGCCCTCCACCCTCCCCAGGAACCGCCAGCACCCACTGAGAGATGTTCATTAACTCTGATAAATGCCACACAATTAACACCATGACATCTGTGCTGGGGGGTTGGGGTACATTACCACTCGGAGTGCCAGCCGCTTGCTCGGCAGCATTCACCAACAGTCTGTGATGCTCCTGGCACACCGGCCAGGTCTGGGTGTCCCACCCCTCCGCCAGATCACGGGGGCCAGCCACTTGCCCTATCCATGGAATAACGTCTCCCCCAGCGAACACTCTAAGGAAAGATTGTGCACTTTAACCTCCTGTCACGGCCCAAGGGCTGGCTGGGATGTGTTTTTTTGTTTTTGTTTTTGTTTTCCTTTCCTTTCTTTCTTTTTTTTTCTGACCAAAGTGAATTGAGGGCATTCTGCTCAAAAAGCTATCCCTGGTAACCAAGAGCAGAGGGCTCCCACGCCAGGCCCAAGGCTTCCCTTGGCCTCCAGAAGGCAGGACATGCCTTCCAGGCCAGTCTGTGGGCCCTCTCCTGGTTGCAGGGGGGCGGGCGGAAGGGAGCTGGCTAGGACCGGTCAGTGGGCAGATGGATCCTCCCTCATAAGCACGCTCTTCTGTCCTCACTGATGTCCAAAAGACCACTGGCCTGGCACCCAGTCCTCGGGCCCCTCGGCATCCCTCTGGAACCCTGAACAAGGCACAGGTGTCTGAGCCTTCCACATCCCCTCTGGAACAGACTGGGGTTGAGACAACGCCCGACCTGCCTACCTCACAGGGTCACTCTGAGGATGGAAACTTCATCTCGGCCAGGAAAGCTTCCTACCAAACAATGAGGCAGCCCTGACCCGTGAGGTATTTCCTATGACCATGACCTTCAACCCTCACCACAGCCAGAGGGAAGGCAGGGGAGTACAAGCTTTCAGCACAGCCCTCTGCCCGGAGCGGCCAGGCCCAGCTGGAGGGAGGCTCCCAGCAACTTTTTTCACATTCCCAGACAGGTTCGTTCTTGTATTAGAAAGGCCTGATCGACCACATCCAGGGCGTCTGCACAAGTGAGCGGCTCACTTCCTCCCTCAAGAATCCTAAGGCAGCTTCAACAGGCAGGCAATAATCTCTTCCCAGAACCACTGCGGTCAGGAAGCCACTGTGGTCACCACCAGGCATTGGCGAAAAGGGCCCACGGGAATCACCACCACCACCATGTTCAAACACTCCCTACTTCACGTAGCATAGCTCTCCCCTCCCCACAAAGAGAGGTCATGGAGATACTGTAGTTTTTAGGGTTAAAAACAACAAAAACTATACAAAAAAAAAAAATCAATGTGAACATGTCACTGGTCAAGTTGAATTCATGCTCTGTTTAGGCACTAAAAAAAAAAAATTGGTGTTGTCACTCACTGTGTATTAACCAGTATTTACCTTGCTTTCTTGATTTCACCAAAACCAAATTTAAAAGACCACATTTCATTTTTCCAAGTGAAAAAGTGACAATTAATTGTACATACTGTATACACACACACACATACACATACACACACACACACACACACACCTGTAGAAATATTACTCCTACCAGATCACAAAGTACTGGCCTGTCGGAGGTGAGAGCGTGCGTCCATGGCCCTCTGTGACTCCCGAGCGTGCGCCGTCTTCTAGATTAATCCACAGAGGTCACCCTCCGTCTCACTGACACTGTAGGTTCACATCTTTTCTTTTGGAATTAAGTTCCCCATGAATAACGAGACACACACCCCTGGTCCCCAGACGTGACTCCTAGCAGTCTGATGGTTCTGTTCTTCCTTATGCAGCAAATACCCCCTTTTATTTCCGGAGAGGTCTCGGCCTCCCCGAGAGGCATCTTCCAATACGTTAGTGCACAAACGCTTACGAATTAGACTGGAACTGCCAGAATCCGATGTACATGAGGAATTGCTCTCCTGCCCCTATTGCATGGTATCGATTTTTAATAAATTGTTGCAAAATTTGTTTTTATGAATCCAAGGGGGAAAACCTGTCATCTTTCATGCCTGCTTTTTCCAGAACTCAGGTCAGCTTGGGCCACCTGCCTCTGCTCAGAAAAAAAAAAAAATCAGGGTCCCATCCATCTAAACTGCCCTCCCCTGTTTTCTGCAGCCCTGTGCCCAGGAGTGGGGTGGGGACCCCAATTTCTGCTGGATCCAGGTGGGAACCTGACCATAGGTAGCTACCTCAGGATCCCTCCCTGGGAGAAGTGCGTTCGGCCGTGGAAGACAACAATGGCAGGAGAAGGCCCAGCGTGGCAGCTGAGCCCACCAGGGTCCGAATTCCCTGGGAGCCATGTGTGCCTGCTTGCACTCTGGGCCCTCATGTGGAATGTGTTCTCTGTAGGATTATCTGCCCTTCCCTAAATTATCCTTTTTCACCTCAATGAGTTCAAGCTGGGCTCCCATGGCCTCCCTTCGCTGTCTCCCTAGCCCCAACTGCCTTGTGGGATTTGAAAGCCTGTAGCAAATGGGGGAATGGGGAGCCCCCCCCCCATGAACCACCGGCACCCGCTCCAGCACAGGACGCCCTCTGCTGGCAGCTCTGTGTCATCCTCCTAGATACCCACCCACCGCCATCCCACTAGATGCATCCTCACGCTATCCCCTCTCCTAGCCACCCTCCAAGCTTCCTGCGGCAGTGTGGGGGCAGGGGACGGGGCTGCTTCCTTGGTGCTCCACCAGGCAGCCATTCCTCCCTGCAGCCCAGGACAGAATCACCTGACCTTAGCAGAGAGGCGGAGATCTGTCCAGACTGGCTGCCGGATCTCAGAGATGAGAGCAAAGGCTGAGCAGGGTGCGGCAGCTGCTAAGGCCTCAGGAAGACTGGGCGGACTTCATCACGGGGTGCACCCACACTTCAGGTCCTCAGTGGCCGAGCGCCAAGCCCCCCATGGCATGGATGAGAAACTGAGGCCCTGAGAGCGAAGTCAAGGTCCAACGGAGGTCACAGGAGGGCAGGCCTGTGACTCCGAGCTTCAGCTTCCTCACCCTTGCCCCTGAACCACCAGCAGAACATCCACCGAGGCAAGAGCCACACCTCACACCGCTTGGACTTCAGACCCCTTCCTCCTCACCACGTCTGTCACTGAGTCACTGAGAGCCTCTTTTGGACATGCGTGAGAGGGAGACGCCCAGTGTGCTGCTGGAGGCGATCCTCCCCCTGTCACATTCTGTCCTCGTTGCTAGGGGTTCCCCATGTTTTCCTTGTTTTGAGACTGGCTCATCTCTGAGGTAAAAATAAAATAAAATGAGAATATTTTCACAGCTTCACAAGAAAGCATTCCAGAGCGGAAGCCCTTTGAGAAACCGCTGCCCAGAAGTTGCCTCCGCCTAGGACATAAGGATAACACTGGGATCTGCTCTGAAGGAAGAAGGTTCCAGAACCAGCAAGGCTGGGCCACCTTCTGGAGCCTGACCTTCTGGGAAATCTCTGTACTTACTATAAGGATCTTCCTGGAACCAGTGACAGGTGAGAATCGGCAGTTCTGCCTACCTGGCTCCCTTCCCACCAGTCTGCTGACTGAATGGAGGTGAAGGCTGGGAAGAAATTTGTAGAAATCACCCTTGTTCCCACTCCTGCCTCAGAGACTGGTTTAGGGATATGTTCATTACCCAAACCCTTTCCAGGATTTCTGCCTCTGTCTTCAGGAGATTTGGAATCTTACTCTCCCACTGGAGGGAAGTGAGAAGCGAGGAGCTGACTCTGCTCCTAAGATTCGGCTCATGGATCAGTAAAGCCTAAAGCCCCTGACCATCTCAAGTTTGAGCCACTATGTTCCCTTTGCCACTCATGGAGGGTGGGTAAAGCTCCTGGTATTTGAGCCAAAAGAAATCTGGGATGCAGGAGGAAGAACCTGTGGTTGTCTGAAACTTAGAAATCCTGCCTCCTTCCAACTCTGCTGGTATTGAGGGAACATGTGGAGAATAACTCCCTGGCTGAGCAGGGAGGTGGGTTAGGACATTGGGGTAGCATGGAAGACTAAAAAACTTTGAGAATCTGAGAACTGGAGGACTGGCACCCATCTATGTCCTCCTAGACAAGGCCCTGTGACCATTCCACAGTCCCATGACTGTCCCTTTTCTGAGCTCATCTCACTTTGCTTAGGCTCGAAAGGCAGGCCATGGACAGTGAAGGATGGACGTGCTCACCCAAGCAAAGCCCAAGTCCCTGACCACCATCACCCCACACCTTAAAGCCCTGGCCAGTCCCAGAGGCTCACACAGTCCTGCTTACTCAGAGCTGTGCATGGTGCTGGCTGGTCCCAACTGGTTCTTCCAGGTCCCACTTTTAGGAACCTCAAGCACCATGTGGGGCAGCCATTGAACCCCTCCTCTTGGCCACAGCCTCTGCTGGGCATGGGGGAGGGGGACAATAGTGAATAGGTGAATGACAAGACAGCTGCATAACAAAGAGATGACAGTGTGTGTTGTGGGCTAAGCAGCTGGCCCACTGGGGAGTTAGGGCAGGCTTCCTGGAGACACGTCCCCAAAAGGGCTTCCTCATGAATTTGCCACCTGGACAGTCATTGTCAAGGGCTCCTGGCTTGGCTTCATGCTCTGCTGTCTCTGTTTTGAAATTTTTAGCGACTTGGATATTTTTAATGGGTTTATTCGAAAGGCAGAAAGGACTCAGAGGTTTTCCAACCACTGATTCACTTCCTCAAATGTTTGCAA